TTAGCCTATTTGACGACCACGATTCTACTACAGCAGTTACACGGCGCCGAATAAACACGAAAGGTGAGTAGTAAGGAACTGGGAAGGAGTTGAACCCAAGCACATGACATAACGATATTATCCTTAAGAGCTCATCCATCGCAGACGCGGTGAGAGATATGGGCCCCACCCGGACTGCTGACCACATTTTCCAAAACTCGCCGTCACGGAAGTCCGCTAGATTAATACCCCCAGGAAGACAAAGTCAGGAAGGAAACTTCTAGGCAATAAATTAATCCCTGCCAACCCCCTTCCGCCCCCAGGTGATACAGACACCCGTGCTTCCATGTTCCGGGTGGAAGCCCCACCTGCACATACGTGAACCCATGCGAGTAAGAAGTTCACTGTTCTGCCTACATGTGCGCTGCTCTCAGGTAACATACCAAGTTCTGCGTCATCAGCTCGGCACAAATTGATTCCTACTTCTGCTGAAACAGGATGACCCCTACACTTTCGAGTGCCGTGGTACTCATGCGAGCCATCTCCTCAGCGTACAAAACCCCGCATTCTGCCCACAGAGTGTATCTGTGTGTTCCGTATGGTTCTCACAATAAACAGCGACTGTTTCCCTGAACAGCATTAACCGGTTGGGCTCTGTAGCGGAGACGTAATGTTTCCTGTGAGGTGAGGACTGAATACAGTAAAATTATGTACTCTGCCCACAGAGTGTATCTGTGTGTGTTCCGTGTGGTTCTCACAGTAAACAGTGACTGTTTCCCTAAACAGCATTAACCGGTTGGGGTCTGTTATGGTGACGTGAGCGGTACTGGGAAAAAAAGACTGTGCTGGCAAAGGCCAGCAGCAATTTGCAAGACAGAACTCGGTTACAACGGAGCGCAAACGTGGCGGCTACACAGAAAGCCGACCCACCACACCCGTCAAACAGAGGACCACGTTTCTAATCACGTGCGTGCCCCAGAGAGAACAAACATGTTCAACAGTTCTCATCTTCTGAGAGAAGATAGATAAGATAGTCTGTTGATAGCCAACTGACGTTACGCAAAAACACATCGCCTCCATCTTCAGGGTCGAATCAGTGGAGCAAGATACCAGCGCGAAAGCAGGCCGCACGGATAAGGGCTCCTCATAACGAACGGCGTGAGATCCTCAAATCCGGCAACAAAAATTTTGGTCACAGATCCTGAAGGACTTGACACTGAGCGAGGACCAGCAGCAATTTCGCCGACAAAACGTTCGGCTGTTCCTGAAACACAGATATGGCAACTGACGTCATAAACACGCCATGTGACTCTGAGCGTCACTTGCCGGACTGTCAGCGACCCGTCATCTCGACGCACCTTCTCTTGGTTTCCCTCTGTCTCCAAGCAAATGCTGAGATGGCTCCCAAGTTGCTACTGCGTGCTTCTCGTGCGGCCCCTCACCCCAGCCCAATTAAGGCCCTTAGCTGTGAAGGCCTGCTACACTGCGCAACTCGCCATGTTTAGCGACGCTGCTAGCGTCGGTAGCAAATGTTAAGATACTAAAAATAAGGGAGCGCACGATGGATAGGGCGTGAGGCAGTCAAAATGCGGACACAATTTCACTAAGGAAACATGATGGAAGAAGATAGAGTGACACATATAAGTATATATATGTGGGTCAAGTCCCGTGTGGCGGACGGTTAGAATACCTCCAGCGTAGCCCTCAGAGGCGGAGAAGCCGACGAAAACAGAACCCAGTGCCTAGGGATATAGCAAGGTCACCCTACAGAGACATGGTTCTCCGGGTTGGCGGCTGGGCGCAAGGCTGGCGCTCTTGCTCTGCGCTATATAAAGAAGTGAAAACCGAATGGCCTAACAGAAGAATCTTGTAACGAAGGCTGTGGCTCCAAAAGGGTTGGCTTGCCAATGATGATGATGATAAGGGGTATAATATTAAAATGAATCCTGAAGAGTAGTGTGTGGATTCTACTGGCACAGCATAAAGTTCGGTCACCAGCTTTCGTAAGCGTGCGAAATTAACAAACTCGGCTGCATAACAAACGTTAAGTTCACTGACGGCTGGGCTACTACAAGCTTCTCAGGAAGAGCACTTTCCATGGAAGTTACGTACTGCTGTACTACCAGCTGAGTCGTCGTGACCGGCCACTGTTGAAGCGACAGGACTTGTGTCGCTGACGTGGTGCTGGCCAGCGAACTCCAACTAATCTGCTTAAGAAACAATGATGGTCCAGGACTAGTGACGTCGGACACGTGCCCTTTGACGTCACAGAGAGTTAGTCGCGCTCTGGAGACGGGTTCTGGTTGGCAATGAGTTACTTAACAACGCTGTATCAACTGAAATTAATCAGTATCGAGTTACATGAGAGAATATAATTACGAAGGAGTGAAAAGAGACGGTTATGACTTATTTGCGATTATTGGGTCATACTTACGAGAATGCCTAAGGAAAACTAAGAACTGTAAGACACTGGCCACTCCCGTACTGCGACCAGATCGGATTTTAGAATATCTTCACTGGCTCTGTTACATGCTGCAAGCCCCGCCCACCTAATTTTTTCTTAGTTTCATCGCCCCAACATCTGTCGAGCAGAACAGAGTTATGAAGCTCCTCACTGTGCGGTTTTCTCCAACCTCCTGTCACCTCCTCCCTCTCCGGCCCAAATACTCCCCTCAGCACCCTCCACGGGACAGACCACGTTTTACACCCATGTAACACAAAAACAAGTTTACAGGCCTAGCTAAGATCAATTATCCCTGTGCTTAACTAATTAAACACAATGCCACGAAGACGTATGGGGGAGTAGATGTATAGATCCAAGTATTCTTGACATTGGCACTAGGTGGTGGGTGGTTAGCTTCACGCCCCGGCCGCTTTGCCCCCGGTACCCACTGAATATGGAGGCTGGATGGGCCCAAGAATCGGTCTGAACGACGTGGATTGAAAAATCCTACCACGACCGGGACTCGAGCTCCGGCCCCTTGACCATCCAGCCCGTAGCCAGTCGCTATACCGACTGAGCTACCCCCGTTCTTCAGTTGTGTATATTTCTTGGTATTCTGGAGAGAACAAACATTAACAAACTAAGATCTCAACAAAAATCTGGATAACCCAAGTTTGTTTGCTCACTTCGTCAGGAACAGAGTTCTTGTTTCTTTGTCTACGTTTCAAAGCGCTTAAAAGAAAAGATATGCCACTTCACTAAGCCGCAGAGTTAAAGGAAGAAGCAGCTCTAATGGATGTAACAGGTTTTCTATGTATATCACTAGGTAGCGGCACAGTCCAGCTTCATGACAGCCTACGTAGCAGACGCGATTGCGCTTGTGCAACGGCTGGTTTCTGTAGTCAACATGGCGACCGTGCTTGAGGGTATAATAGCAATGATCAGCGTTCTGTCGTGCGTCTCTTGTGGGTAAAACGACTCGATGCAAAGCATTTTAATAAAGAAATGTTTCCTGCTTACGATGGGAAGTGTTTGTCGCGTTAAGCGGTTCACAACTGGGTCGAGAAATTCTCTCAGGGACGTTCGAAATTCGCAGATGATGCCCGGCCAAGTATGGAACGGGCCGAGACAACAGTCAAAAAACTTCTATGTCGCGGGTTTCGACGCATTGGTAAAGCGACGGGACAAGTGTATCAGTGTTTGTGGAGGATATGCCATGAAAACGGATGTTTCTCCCAGGTTCAAATATCAAATGTTTCACGTTTTATATCCATTTGTGACGCATTTACTGACTGCCTCGTATGTTGTATATCCCTCGTTTACATCACGATTAAATGGTTTATCTCCGGGAGTGACAATTACATCCCTTTCAGCAACCCCTACCCATATTTCATCCTCAGGAAATACCCTCGCTCGGTAGGGATGGGGTAAATGTAACTGTGGGGAGGAGGGATGGGTCCCCCTGTACTGTAAACATTCCAAACGTGCTTCGGATCCTGTGAAACAGGAACACAGGACTGCGAACAGAAGGGACGGCAAGAGGGATCGGAATTGATCCTGCTGCACAGGCTTCGGACGGAACTCAAAAGGGAATTCGAAATGAGGAGCAGGAGCCGAACGCAGTCACCCCCCCCAACAAAGGCTCTCACCTCTTGGACTCACCAGAAAGCGCCCGCTGAGACGCAACATAGTGCTTGGAACACTGGCGACACTGCGCGGCGTCAAGACCAACTACAGTGCATGTGCGAGTGAATCGTCCAGACGGACGAACGGGTGGAGCCTGAGAACCTTGCGACAACAACAAACAATAAAGTGTCTCTCACGTCTCCCATGGCTTTCCCTTTCATCTAGCGTTCTACTATACTTCTCTGCATTGTGACGCTGGCCGCTACTGGTGAGCAAGCGGGATCGTCCAGGAGGTTGAACTGAACTGTTTTGACTCAGGTAGCAGTTGCTGATGCATGCTGCTGCCGTGCCTGTAACACCCCCCCCCCAACCACTCCTCCAGTCCCCCAAGGCAATGCTGGGAGAGAGCTCGCACCTTTCTCCTTTCTGGGTTATTTTCTGAAGCTGCTAGTGGCCACACCGACAGGGTAATGGATGATAAGTGAGGGCTGGAAAGGAACTCGTCGGGGTTTAATCCAGGCACTATCCCACCATTTGCCTGGACTGAAAGCCATAATGTCAGAGATTCCCGGCAGGGGCAATAGATTCCTCTCTTCTCCACAGCTTCCGGGCCGGCTGTGGGGCCCACGCAGCCTCACGTCCCATGCGAATCGGGAGGTCTAAGAGGTAGAAGAGTACACCTGACTACTCACCTGCATCTGGTGGCGAGGTTAGGAACAAATGGAGCTATACCTCCACTATCACAAACATCTTCACGTCGTGTTGCGTAACTAACCACGCACGTGGAAACTTTGCGTTTTACACTTTACAGAACTGTGGCGTTCTATGATCTCTACTAAACCGAGATAAATCGGGCGTAGCAGTGGAGATGTTGCAAACATAATAATTCTGGCTCAAAATCCCCCCCCCCCAAGCGTACACGGCAGTGCAGCACAAGTTTCGCTGTACTTACCATTGGTCCCTGGGGTCAGGCAGCTTCCTGTGGACCGATATGAGGTCACTAACATACTGGTTGAAGGCATTCTTCTGCCATCCCTCGTCCACCAGCTTCTTCACATCGGCCGATAAGTTGGCCGGCAGCACGACCGGCTTCCCCATCTCACCATACTGCACACTGCTCGAGTCCTCGTCAGGGTCCCTGGGAGGGACCAGCACTCCCCCCACCCCTTCCTCAGGGCCCGCGTTCTCATGGCTGTCACCAGAGGGGGCTGCTGCCGGGGGTTCCTTAGCGGAACTCGGTTCGGGCGTCTTCTTCAGCAGAGCTGCAGGCGCTGGCAGGGCTGGGTCGGGGTTCGTGTCTGCGGGCGGCCCGCGCTGCTCGGTGTACAGGAGGAAGGCGACGGTGAACCAGACGGTGAAGATGAGGAGCACGATCTTCAGGAGCAAGGAGCGCCGGCGCAGTAGCAGAGCCATCGTCATTCTGGGGCGAAGCGGGCGTGGAGGGAAACACTGTGTGGGTCAGCTGCCCATCGTGGTCGGACCTGCAACAGTACAGTTACCGTGAAGAGCGCGGTAGTTCGGAGACAGTCAGACATTTCGGAGAAACATATCACCTCTATCTTCAGGGTCGAAGGGCAAGCCAAGAATATCAGCAGATCGAGCCCAGAAGCTAACGCCCGACTATCCTGAGGTCTTAAGTGGTTTTCCTCAGTCCCCCCAGTCGAATGCCGGGGGAAGTGTTTTGAAACAGGTCACCACCACTTCCTTCCAAACCATAACCAATTCATCTTTTATTAATCTTCTTGTAATTCAGAGCAAATTTCTGGTACAGAAAGAACACTGAAGGCAAGAGAACACTTGCAAGACCTAGGCGTTGACGGATGGATAATATTCAAGCCTGAAGTACAACTGTGCAGTTCAGGACACGGCGAAGGTCACGAGGAAGAGAAGAACGAAAATGTGAGCTGGAGAAAAGATGGAAATAAACGAAGGTAGAAAAGGAGGAGTCAGAAGGAATGAAGAGAAAATGGAGACATCTGAGGAACCGAAGAAGCAGACAAACGTACGAGAAGGGGGAGAATTGATCTTGCTCGGCTTGCCATTGGCTGACTTTCACGAAACACCAAGGTTCATCACCGTGTTCACAAAGGCTCAAAATTAAACACGACCCATGTCACCTTATATCTACGTGATATTCACATTACACGCCTACCTAAGAGACTTGGCAATATACTCTTCTGGTCCTAATATCATTTTCAGGACACCTCCCCACTAATACTGCATCACATCTGCATACGGGTACAGAGCCCACATCTGACTGCTGGGCCAGGAGTCGAACCGCGTGCTTCCAGCATAAATCCGACATGATATCGCAGCTGTTCCACGTGGAACTTCCAACAGCAGCATTGGGCGATGTTACCCCCTAGCGGCCAGTACTCAGAGAGAAGTAGCTATCTCGAAAACTGCGAGACAGTGTTTCCGTCCGCTGTCGCCAGAGTGCTCTTGCGACGTCGTTAAGAACTCGGTCAGATTAAAGCAGATTACAGCAGAACCAGCACAACAGCAGTGGAGGGGTGTGTTGCTTTGTTCAAGGTCCTTTTGCTTCACGACCCTGTGTGTGCGGACAGGGACATCACGTGACATAGCGGTTTGTGTGGCAGGATAGGATACTGCCTGTCCGAAATACCTGCCAGGGTACGTGACGCATTGGTAGGAGAAAGGAGGCAAAGATATCACTGTAGCAGGCCGTGGAGACCCACAGGGTTGTGAGACGTCGAGGCTCCCACGTTTTCCAGACAATCGGCTCACACATAGCAGTGAGGTTGTCAGCCTTACGCGCCGGCCATCCTTTACCCCCAGGAAGATTCCTGGTACTCATTTCTGTTAGAGGCCGAGTCGAGCCCAGGACCATAGTGCGGTTGGAAGGATTACGTCACTTTTACGGAACAAAAGTCCTGTGTGCCGAACGCGATCTCCGGTGTGGCAATTTTAGCAGAATCTGGTGATTTTCTAATGAAGACGTCGCTGAAGAAAGTAGTCTTCTGGGATGTGGCACCGTGTACATGTGGTGTTAACCGACGTTTCGGAGGAACTTATCACCTCCATCTTCAGGGTAAAAGGAAAATAAGAAAATCCGCAAGCGAAGAGACAGTGAGAACAGGTGCAAACAGACTAATGTTGGAAGTCTGCTTGCACCTGTTCTCACTGTCACTTCTTTTGCGGATTTTATTTTTCCTTCTACCTTGAAGATGGAAGCGATACGTTCCTCCGAAACGTCGGTTAACACCACATCTACACGGTGCCACATCCCAGAAGACTGCTTTCTTCATAGTCATCGCCATGAAAACCTCAAATCTTACTT